ACGGCACAATCATAGCTCACTGCAGACTCAAACTACCGGGCTCAAGTGATCCTCCCACCGCAGCCACCAGAGTAGCTGGGACTACAGTCATGTACCACCATGCCCGGCTAAAATTTTTTTTTTTAATTTTGTAGAGTCGAGGTCTCACTATGTTGTTCAGGGTGGTCTCAAACTCTCAGCGTCAAGCAATGCTCCCATGTCAGCCCCCCAAAGTGCTGGGATTGTAGGTTTGAGCCATCGTGCTGAGCCTGAGACCGTTTCTTTTGGGGGTGAAGAATATGTTCTGGAATTAGATAGTGGTGATTGTTGCACAATTCTGTGTATATACTAAAAAACCCTAAATTGTATACTTTAAAATGGTGGATTTTATGGTATGTGAATCATATCTTAATAAAGCTGTTATTGAAAAGGAGAAAGAAGAGAAGAAAGAGAAAAGGAGAAGAGGAAAAATAACTGGATCCTAAAGATAAACTGTTAGCAGTGAAATTATCCAGTAAGGGGCTGGGCGTGGTGGCTCACACCTGTAATCCCAGCACTTTGGGAGGCCAAAGCGGGTGGATCGCTTGAGCTCAGGAGTTCAAGACCAGCCTGTGCAACATAGTGAAAATTCTTTTCTATAAAATTTTTAAAAATTATTTGGTAAATTCTTATATTTTTATGTACATTGTCAGATAGGCACACATAAAATTATTACTAATTCAAAATCCCACCAAGATTTTGACTAATGGTCAAAAACCCCACCTACATAGGAACAAAGGTTTATTTTTATTTATTCTCCCATATACTCTCATAACCCCATCCACCCAGAAACAATCATCACTAAAACCTTGGTGTAAATTCTTCCACACCTTTTCCTTTCCTCTTCTATTTCTAGATGTGTAAAACACTTGAATGTATATATTTCAAACATAAGAACCATCATATGATACAAACTTCAGATCTTTCTTTTTCTCTTAACGTGATCTATGGACACATTATAGATCAGAGTCTTTTTTTTTTTTTTTTTTTTTTTTTTTGGAGACAGAGTCTTGCTCTGTCACCCAGGCTGGAGTGCAGTGGCATGATCGCAGCTCACTGCAACCTCCATCTCCCGGGTTCAAGCGATTCTCCTGCCTCAGCCTCCCGAGTAGCTGGGTCTACAGGTGTGCACCACCACACCTGGTTAATTTTTGTAATTTAGGAGAGACAGGGTTTCACCATGTTGGCCAGGCTGGTCTCGAACTCCTGACCTCGTGATCCACCCTCCTCAGCCTCCCAAAGTGCTGGGATTACAGGCGTGAGCCACCACCCCCAGCCATCATTTTTTTTTAAGTTGCAAAAACCAGTGTTCCATTGTATGGATTTACCATAACAGATAATGAAAATTCGTGTTGTAGTTTACAATTATCTAAGTGCACATATTTATACAGATATCTTTGGACACTTTTATGCTTATTTCCAAAACATAAACTCTTAGCAGTAAAATTACCCAGTAAAATTCTATACGCTTTTGATATGTTTATGGTCATTGTCAGATGAGCCAAATAAAATTAGAACTAATTTAAAATCCCCCCCAGGAGCATTAGAGTACATTTTTCTCTGAACTGGGGCCACTTCGAAAAATTTTGAAAGAAGCCTCTTAAGAGAAGAATTTCTCTGTTTTGGTGAATAAATCTGGTTCAATTTTCTTACCTTCAGCCTCTGCCATTGTCAACTCCGCCAAACAGGAGAGAATTAAGAGGATCAGTGGCATGAGCCTTTTTACAAGCTCCATTTTGGCAAGGGACTGAGCAGCCTTAAAAACTGGCAGCTTTTATAGCCTCTGTGTTACATCAGCTTTCTGGACACCTCCAGGGAAACGTCAGTTCCAGCCATGCAATGGGGTAGATTTGTGTGAGAATAGAGCAGCTGTGTGACTGGTTTCTTATCAGCAGTCCCCACAGTGAGGGTTCCCTCTCCTCAAATCCTTCCCGGAAGGGTTGACACCCAGTGGAAGCTCTTTGTGGGGATCTCCAGCAGCTGGTTCCCAGCAGGCACTGAGTTATTCTCCATGAAACTGATGGGGAGCTGTGCCTTTCTTCTGTGCCTGCACATCACAAACAGGTGGCCTCATTGACATCATTGAAGTCTTCAGGGCTCTGCTTTGAGAAGAGAGCCTGTAGCAGAACAAAGGCCAGTGGGGCAAGGCAGGTGGTGCAGCACCTGGGCAAAATCTGGGTTCAGCTGGGACATTCAGATGCCCTGCCAGTTGGCTAACCCTGTTGGGGAGGGGAAGAGGGTAGGGATGAAGAGAAAAAGAGGACAGATCCAGATTCCCCTACGGGGATTTCTAACCAGTTATGTCTGGAGAGGCTGAAGCAGGTGAATTAGTCTCTCAGGCATGGTGTTTTGCAGCCGAGAGAAAGAAATACTAGTGTCTACAGTGAGACTGGGAGGAGCAAGTGGTGGTGGGTGGGGGCTGCCCTCTTTTCATTCAATCAGTAAATATTACTTATTGATCTAGGGCCTAAGCAATATAGAATTGAATGTGAGAGACGCAGTCCTGCCCTCATGAAACTTGTATTCTAAGTGGAGAGTTAGACAACAAAAATAAATGAAGAATTCAAATGGTGAGAGGAGCTATGGATACAATAAACAGGCTGACTGCATAGATGGTGGTTGCCTTGGGGTGGGGAGGAAACCTGACAGTGAGAAGGAGGGCATCTTGAGAGATGAAATCGGAACAAAGGCAGAAAGATAAGAGGGAGGCATTCATGGGTGATCTGAGCTTGGGGCTTGCATCTTAGGCAAAAGAGAGGGCAAGTGCACAGGCCCTGAGGCAGGGACCAGGTGGGCACACATATAACAGCACGGAAGAAAGAACAGCCTGGCTGGACATGAATGGGAGGAATGAGCTGGGAGGGGAGGATGGAGAGGAGCAGGTGAAGGTCAGATGGGGAAGGACCCATAGGGCAAATGAGTCTGGGTTTCACTCTAAGTTCAGGTGGAACATATTGAGTGGACAATGCCAGGACTGGCTACTTTCTGAAGAACCTTCATGCAGCTCTGGGGAGGTCTGACGCCCGTGTAGGCTGTCTCCTAGGGTGAAACCTTCTGGCTACCGTCAGCCCCTCTGTGTTGTTCTGACGGTGCTGAAGCCCAGGACACCTCCCTAGGGAGAGCACAGTCCTACGCCGTGACCCAGGGGATCCATTCCTTGTTGGGTCCTTGTAGGGGAAAGGCAGCATCTGGGATGCTCAGGAGGAGCTTGGACATTCCCCAAAGCCCCTGCCTGGCTCTGCTCCACTCCTGTCTGCCCGGGCTGGTTGTGGATGACGCAGGACTGGGTGTCCTGGGGTGAGTTAGCAGGGCACAGGTGTTTGAGACTGGGGACCCTTCTGGTTACTAATCGCTTGCAGCTGTGTCCATGAATACCCACCCCTACCCTGGGCTCTCCCTCTGAACCCCTCTTTGTCACCCATGGCTGGGATCTCCAACATCCCTAATCCATCTCCACTGAGTGTGAGAGTTTCGTGGCCACACTCTTCAGGTGGCCCTGGTAAAGGACCCAGGCTTCCAGGTCCAGTCAGGAGAGAAGCCACCTTGAGGCCTCTGGCAATTTCCTGGGGACCATGGGGTGCTGTGGGGTCACCCTGCATCATCTCACTGCTTTTTCCCTGTCACCTGTGCAAGTCCCCACTTCACATCAAGGACACAGTGGCTCAGATGAGTAAAGGGACTTCTCCTGGTGAAGGCCAAATTGGGATGGGAACTGGGTCCATAGGGCTCTAAAACCCATGTGTGGTGCTCTGTCCTCCTGCTAATGGGAGTATCCTGAAGACCTTTGTCCCACCTGCCTCCCTCACAGCCCCTGCAATACCTGCACCAGGAGTAATCACCCACATGGGGAGGCCCTGGCACAGGCGTCCTGGGTCCAGGCACTGGGCCACCCACTGTGTGCGGTAACAGGGGATTTGTATGTGCTCCATCTGTCAGAGCTTGCTGGTGACAAGAGAAAATCAAAGGCAGGGGACAGAGACAGTGCCCAGAAACTTAAGGGGGACAGGTGACCTCCGGCTGGAGGCTGCCCGGATTTGGCCTCTTCCCAAGCATGCTGGGGCTGGAGGCTCAGCCTCCAGGAAGTGCTTGGCCTCTACAGACAGCTCTTCCACCCACATCTGGCCCGTTTCTGTGCCTAGATGTCACAGCTGTTTCCTTCATTTGCGACTTCTGTTTTCCTTTTTACCCTCTTTTAGTAGATTACCATCTGTTACTAGCTAATAATTCTTCACATTCAGTATACATGTGAAGGTCACAAGCAAGGGTTTAGTTCATGAGAGGAGTGGACATGCGGTTACAGATGGGGAATCATGCTTAGAAAGGGGTTCCAGGAGGCTCAAGCGCAGGAGCTGGAACAGAAGGCAGCTGGGAGTAGAAATGGGGAGTGGTGCTTCCTGTCACCTGTTGTGGTCAGGGAGTCTGGGCTTTGGCCTTTGGCTGGTGGTTGGTGTTACAGTTGAAGATGTTGATGGCTGGATCAACACACATCACTGTTACCGTGATCCACGAAGGAGTCACATGCTCTGGAGATTTGGGGATTGCAGTAGGATGAAACTGGTTTTCAAAAGGTCCTTTTGAGGTCACTGAGCTCAGGCCTATCTTACACAGGTCAGACAACTTTAACACAGGGAGATCCTGCCTGGCTCCTCTCACTGTCTTGGATAAATGGACAGGACAACAGGACAGGTGTCAGGACATGACACCATTTTCTGCGGTGGATGTCAACCATCCAAGCTCTCACGAGAGCTAAATGAGTGACTCCAGCTGGACGAGATCAGCTGGGCGGAAACTGGAAACGTCGTAAGAACAGTGTGCATTTTCCTTCTCGGGTGGGAGATGTGCTGGACACTTTTATTCCAATTCTCTTTCTTCTATTGCAATGCTACAAGCTAATTTCCCCCACATTCCAAAGTGAGTAATAAATATATTTAAACAAAGAATGTTTATAATTAATAATCAAAAAATATTGGCGGCAAAGAGGATTATTTTTAATAGTGTACATTTATTCAAAAGTATATAAAACAACACTGTAAATTATATAATCTCACATAAAAACTCTAGAACTTGATTTGAATAACAAAACAATCTACTTAGAAAGAAATATTGCTCATGAAGATTTTTGTGCCCACCTTTCCCAAGTCAGAGGCCCTCATTTATGTCACAACAGCAGGGTGGCAGGGCATCAAAACTGGCATACATTCTACATCCTTCACAGCACTGCAGGGCAGGACAAGACTCCATGGCAATGGTTTTGGCCTGGCTGTTCTTGGCCCACCACACCTTGTCTGGGTTGTGATTTTTTACAGCCACAGCCTCAGGGTCCTTTGCAGCTCTTGAGAAAAGACACACACAAAGCATAGGCTTAGAATTTTTCTTCTCAGTCCTTTTGTTAGAACTGTTGGGGGTATTGGAAGTTTAGTGCTGAAGCCAGTGAAACATTAACACCAGTCCTACATTAAGGCTCTCTCCCCTGTCCCAAGTTCCTCTCCAATCCTTTCCTCTCCTATGATTGCTATAAACGTAAACTGAGGTTACAAAAGTAAGGGTGAGTGAATTCGCAACCAAGGTCACCCAGCTGGTCACTGCAGGCCCCCGAGATGCAGGAATGATGGGAAGGTGCTGCATTCAGCTGTGTCCTGGGCTCCGGGATGTGCCATTGTGAACTCCTTAGAATGGGGACACAATTGCATCTGACAACCAATCTTTCTGGTACTTAAAGGGTCTTCTCCCCAAAAATGCAATCTTCTCTTATCTGATCTACCCTCCCTTGTCCACTGTCCCCCAGGTTTTTCACACAGGTCAGCTGTCCCTGAGATCTAGAGCCCCAGTCATTTTCCCCAAGGCCACCAGAAACAAATGGAGGAATACCCTGAGAGCTCCCAACTCAGGCAAGAAGAGATCAATCCAGCCCGTCCTCCACATGAGTACAAGGCAGAGCTCATTCACGCAGTCTCCCCAACAGAATCTGCAGCCTGCAGTGCCCAGGACAGAGGAAGGCTTGGCCAAGGTGCTGAATTAAACACCTGATGGTAAACTTAGTGAGATCCAGTGACAGCGAAGCAGTGCTGACACTCACAGGCCCAAGCTGAGAACATTCTAACCACCCCATCCAGAAAGAAAAAACATAGCTAGACTCAGCTGTCTTTTTGCCTTTACAAAGCTGCCTGTTCTTCTTGACCTCACCCAGGGGTATGGCCACAGCAGCAAGGAATGACCTTGCTCCAACAGGGAGCCCGGGTATCCCATTAAGGGAGTGTTATCTATCCCCTTTTCTCCATGTGACTCACTTTAGTGCATTGTTTATTTTGAACATGTGACTCACTTTAGTGCGTTGTATATTTTGAAGTAAAGACAGAGCACGACAACTATCAGCAGGAGCAAGGCTGCCAGGATACCACCAGCAATGACAAGCATAATCACTGTACGGAGGTCAAAAGACTTCGATGTACCTAGGCAGAGAAGTACAAGCAAGCACTGAGCCCACGTGGCCTCCCTCCCCACACAACCACCAAGCAATGTCAATGTCAGGGGAGGAGGAAGAAACCCCAAACACAGATCCTTATGTGTGTAAAACACAAATGTCTTCCCAGGGCAGTCTAGGATCCCAAGCTGGCCCAGAGATGGAAAAAAAGAAAAAAAAAAAGTCCATTTGTCAATGAAAAGGAATGGAAATGCAAAGTCCAGAGAGAAGGCTATCAGAAGGACAAACAGTGGGAAGAATCGTTCCCTTTCACAGGTGTGATGTGCAGCTGGCAACAACAAGCAGGCCTGCAGTGGAGCTGATGGCATCACTCCCCAGCGTCTGGGCCTCCTGAGCTATACTCATTTTCAGAGTCAGAAATGACCCCTCACTGGATGTCAGGCTCAAAGCTCTTCTGTGGAAATGACTGTTTTCAAATGTTACTGTCCCAACAATACTGAGAATATGCAAATCCATTTTGTAAATGATGCATATTTTAGGAAAAGAACTTTACAATTCTTCCTCTGACAACTGACATTTTTCCTCCTAAATCTTAAATTCTCCCAAGAAATCCATTTGAGATAAAAAATTAGTTTAACTTTCTGAAACTGGGAAAAAGTGAGCCAGAGGAGAATAAACAATCTGACTGCCAAAGCATACTTACCACCTTTTAACTCTTCATGGCTGGGTGTAAGCCAACAGTAAAAAAAAATTACAATCAAAGTAAACTTTAGGGAACGGGACATCTTATCAGGAATTTCTCAAACTTTTAATTTGAGAAAGAAAATTCTAATGATTAACATCCAAAGTTGAAGACCTCGCTTTTAGAAGCAGTCTTCCAGTAGAGCTAGCAGAATGGATATCCACAATCTAGTTCCAACTTCTGTGCCAATCAGGACACAGGCTGTGTGACATCAACACTCTGGACACCAGCTCTCTTTCATGGAGTTCTGAATTCCATTCCACTTCCAGATATATTTTAGCACCAATGGAAGTAGATATGTCTAAATACTCTCTTAAGCCATGTAATATTCAATCTCCCCTTTTCAGGCTTTGTTTCCATCAGAGAAAAGTTTTAGTTAAGAGTCTGATTCCCAGAGATGCCACGTTATATTATTTTAAATGTCCACTTTTCCAAAAAGCCTATAAGAAAGTATGGCCCATAAAGGAGTAGGGGAGCAATAAATAAAAACTTTTTCTAGAAGAAGCCCAGACATTGGCCCTACTAGAAAAGACTTTTAAAGTCTTTTAAATATGTTCAAAGGAATCCATGTCCAAAAAACTAAAGGAAAATATGAAAATAATGTCTCATCATAAAAAATACCAATAAAGATAAAAATTATTAAAAAGAACCAAACAGAAATTATGGCATTGGAAACTACAATGACTGAAATGAAAAATTCACTAGAAGGGCTTAATAGCAGATGTGGATTGACAGAAGAAAGAATCAGTGAACTTGAATGTAGTTGAGATTATCCAAACTGCAATACAGAAAGAAAAATAAATGGGTAAAAATGAACACAGGACTTCCGGTTTCTGTGCCAGCATGTGAAGGGCTTAGGAGTCATCATTCCCATATTCACAAGTAAAAAGCTGAATAAACTGACTGAAGAATCAACAACTCTTAAGTCAACCAGAAAACTGGTCACAGGGCAAACAGCCACCACCAAAACTAAAGAGAGAGGTGAATACAGAGAATCTCAGCTTAGGAGCAGAAGCCATTGCCAGAGCCAGCAACTAGTAAGAACACTTACATGGTAACTGATGTCTTCCTGGATGATGAATAGGGACTAGTATAATATTTTAAAACTCCTGAGGGCCAAATTTTGTTTTGTTTTTTGTTTTGTTTTGTTGGGTTGTGGCTCCCTTTCATGAGTCATATCTCCAGGAGTATTGCAGGAAGTCAGGGACCCCGAATGGAGGGATGAGCTGAATCCATGACAGACGAACATAAATTGTGAAGATTTCATGGACATTTATTAGTTCCCCAAATTAATACTTTTATAATTTCTTACACCTGTCTTTACTACCATCTCTGAACATAAATTGTGAAGATTTCATGGACACTTATCACTTCCCCAATCAACACCCTTGTGATTTCCCATGCCTGTCTTTACTTTAATCTCTTAATCCCGTCATCTTTGTAAGCTGAGGAGGATGTATGTCACCTCAAGACCCTGTGATGATTGCGTTAACTGCACAAATTGTTTGTAGAGCATGTGTGCTTGATCAATATGAAATCTGGGCACCTTGGAAAAAGAACAGGATAACAGCAATGTTCAGGGAACAAGAGAGATAACCTTAAAATCTAACTGCTAGTGAGCTGGGCGGAACAGAGCCATATTTCTCTTCTTTCAAAAGCAAATAGGAGAAATATCGCTGAATTCTTTTTCTCAGCAAGGAACATCCCTGAGAAAGAGAATGGCCCCTGAGGGTAGGCCTCTGAAATGACTGCTTTGGGGGTGGCTGTCTTTTATGGTCAAAGGAGAAGGGATGAAATAAGCCATGGTCTCCTGTAGTGCTCCCAGGCTTATTAGGACGAGGAAATTCCCGCCTAATAAATTTTGGTCAGACTGGTTGTCTGCTCTCAAACCCTGTCTCCTGGTAAGATGTTATCAAGACAATGTGTACCCGAAACTTCATTTGCAATTTTAATTTTGCCCCATCCTGTAGTATTGTGATCTTGCCCTGCCTCCATTTGCTCTGTGATATTTTATTACCTTGTGAAGCACGTGATCTCTGTGACCCATATCCTATTCGTGCACTCCCTCCCTTTTTGAAAATCGCCAATAAAAACTTGCTGGTTTTACCGCTTGGGGAGCATCACGGAACCTACTGACATGTGATGTCTCTCCCGGACACCCAGCTTTAAAATTTCTCTCTCGTACTCTTTCCCTTTATTTCTCAGACCAGCTGACACTTACAGAAATAGAAAAGAACCCACGTTGAATATCGGGGCTGGAGTTTCCCCCAATATAGGAGCTCACCTGGTTCTTATAATGAAGACTACAGGAAAATCCCTTTATATTTTAGTCTCCACTGACACTGCAGTGGAGTTGGCCTTATTACCACTATGAGATAATAAAAGTCATGAAATTTCACCAGGCCTCCTCTGGTGCCACCCCAGAAGTTAAGTGGAAAGTTGTCTCATTACCTACTGGGTCAGAGAAGAAATCCAGACTCCCCAAGGGGTCTCCACTGATACCACAGGGGTCAGAGTTGAGTCTCTGCTCTTTATTCATCCTTCTCTGACACCACCCTGGTGGAGGGGTGCTTTGGGATACTTCTTTACTGCTTGGTAATAGTAGACTTCTAAGCTCTCTACTCAGTCTTTGCTGGTGGAGTTGGGATAAGGCCATAGTTTTTTCTACGGTGTTTGCCTAGAATGCAGAAGTTATTGTCTAAAAGTTTTCTCTCTTGTTGAATTGCCCATTTCCTGGTCTTTTGGCCAGAAAAACTAGTTTCTTGTTGGGGCTCTTTTGTCTGAACCCATTGGTGTTTCCAAGTTGCTCAATTCTTCAGCTCCGAGTTTAGGAATCTGAGACAAAAAACAAAACTTACAGAACTCACTGCCATGCTATTACTTTGATCCCAAGGTCCCTAGCTAGCCTTCCTTCTTCTCTCCACCTATTCAAGCCTTATGTTTGTTTTCTATATAATATCCATGGATTTTAGTTGTATTTAGGAAGAATAAAAGTATCTCTTCCCCTAATATGTGAAATTTTTAAATCAGTCCTCTGCTTAAAAGCCACAGCCTCTGCACCAACCCTACACTTGCTCAATCCTGAAAATGAGTGTCTCCTTAAATTGTGTACCCTGGGCCCTCCGCATGTGTTATCCAGCCCATATCTCGACATAACATCTTTCCAGCCTCATCTCCCTCTGTGTTACCCCACACCCCATGTATTTTCATGCCTCTGACCTGGTTAGATGGCCCTCCCTGTCCCTCACCTCCTCTATCTGCTGAAATACCATCCCGCAAGACTTCAATAAAATGCCGCGTTCTTATAAAACCTTCAGTGATTTCCGTCTTTCTCCCTCTCGTGTTAATTGTCCTCTCCCTATGTATCCATGCCCTTTGTTTGTGCCTATATGGAAATTTGAATTGTTGACTAGGTGTAGTGGTTCATGCCTGTAATCCCAGCACTTTGGGAGGGTGGGGCAAGAGGACTGGATTGAGCCCAGGAGCTTGAGATCAGCCTTGGCAATATGGTGAGACCCTATCTCTACAGAAAATTTTAAAAATGAAAATGAAAATAAATTAGCCAGGTGTGGTAGCAGATGTCTGTAGTCCCTACTTGGGTTCAGAGGGATATAACCCTAAATAAGCTTAGTTATCATTAAGGAGCTAGGGCCTGTGGACCCTCACCATGGGGGTGACTACTTCATCTCTCGGTTTCCTTCTATTTCTGTGGTTACTTGATTGCTGTTTGATTGTCTGTGGGCTTGTGCATTTAAAGTTTGCTTTTTCAAGGTGTTTGTGAGCTCCATGAGGGCAGGAGCTCTGCAACCCTAGGTATCAGAGAACCTGCAACCTATTAGGTGCTGGCACATGTTATGATCATTGACTGAAATCTGAATCTTGTCAATCTGGCACTCATCACTTTCTCCAACTGAACCTCTAAATTTAGACAGTGCAGTGACTCAGACATAGCAGTTAAACCCTGACTAATATTATTTCATTGATTAAAAAGAATGCATACTTTCTACATTGCTTATAAGTCACCAACATTTAACTACTTCCAATGTGTTTTAGTAATATCTTTCTGAGTTGTAATGAAGACAACCAGGAGGCAATAACTAAAACCTCTGTTTGAAAGATGAGGAAACCTAAGCTCAGAGAGTGGAAGTGACTCCCTTGGGTCACACAGCAAGTAACTGGCAGCAAAGAAACTAGGACCTGGTTCTATAATCCTTCCCTCCATCTCCTTCTTCCCAAGTCCAATGCTCTTCCACCTCCAGCCTTCCTGAACCTTCTGAAATGATGTGTTGTTCCCCATTCCCAGTCCCCCTAACTCTATTATTCAAAGGCTGTGATTTTGGCTGTCAGCTGAAAGATCTGCAAATAAATCTAGTTGCATTTTATCTAAGGAAGGGGCTGATTTTTGTGTTGATGTTTTCATTCAAAGCAATATCTCACTGATGATTCACATGTGGTGACTACTCAAGAGTACTGAGAGGAACGGGGCCATGTGTTCCAGACGGCAAAAGGTAGGCAGCAACTGTGCTCAGAATCAGTGAGTTCAACTTTGCAAAATGCAATTCCTGATACAGGGGCTGGCCTTTTCTCTATGGAAATTCTCTGTAATTCATATCCACAAGGACTTTCACCCAAGTCAGTTATTTGTAAACTGCCCATCCTGTGACTAACACCTGAGTCAAATGGTTGCAAACGCCCTGAAGCATGCTAAATTGCATCTCTGGAGACAGAAGCATCCTGGATCCAAAACTACATAAGCCTGTGAGCTCCCTACTTGACCCAGTTCCCATCTCTGTGCCTCCTCCACAGCTCTTTCTGCTCTGCTCCCGGAAAACTCTTTACCTTCAGACTCTTGGTGCAGATGGGGACCTTGCTATGGCACTGGCAACTGCCATGAAAAGAGCTGGGTTTTGTCCCAGAGCGAGGATCTCCTTAACTGAATCCTTTATTCTCAGAGAAATAAAAATTGTGGTGAACAACATGCAATCAGATTTTATGAACTGCCAAGGTTTGAAGATAGTTTCTGTGTCTTTGTAAAATCTAAATGGCACATTTTACTATATGTCCCAGAACCAGATTACACCTCTCTTCCCATCTCCCATATTCTCATCCAATCATTCCCTCCAAAACTTTATGACTGTAAAATCAGTTTTAAAAGAACCAAAGAGAAAAAACTGCAAACTTAGTGACGGATTAGCATGTTCTACCTTATCAGTGCCTGTCTAGGTGATCCATGCAGATCCCCGAGAGGTGCAGGTATGACAAGGAAGGTCACAATCTGCCATGCACTGCGCTCTGGGATCTGCCGTCTAACTCGCAGGCTTAACTTCCACAAAATGTGACAAGACTGAGTCTGTCAAACCAGCTTCTCATTTCTTGGGAGGCATTCTTCTCCATACTCACATGATTCAAGAGAAGTAACAGTTCATCTTATTTCACCTGCATACATAATGGCTCCTCTGCTCCAGGAAGGGCAAGAAACATTTCAAAAAGAGCTCCAACTTCATCATGGGTCAGACATCCTCTTGTCAGGCATCCTCCAGGGTCTTCCAAGTGCAGCTTCCCATCTCACCATCTCTTAGGCAACTGGAGAAGGGAAAAGAGAACAGCTCAAGAACTCTGTAGCTCAGCAAAGGGGAGATCATTCAGCTTGTCAGTTTTTTCAGTCTATAGTGCCTCAGACAGAGGGAGAGCTCAGCTAACATGCTGAGTTAAACACCCAATAGGAAACTCAATTATTTAAAGTGACACCAAGGCAGTGCTGACACACAGAGCCACCAGGCTGAGAACATTTTATTTACAAGCTCACAGCCCCAAGCCAGAAGGTAAAAAAAGCCAAGAGTGTACACAAACATGCCTTTGCCTTTCAACCTCTCCTGCTGTTCTTGACCTGAACCATATGTGGCTGCCACAGCAAGGAATGCCTCTGCGGAAGCAGAGAGTGTCCAGGTATCCCATTTGAAGGGATGTCCCTCATTGTTAAGTGACTCACATCTTTGCCATGGCACATTAGAAAGGGACACAATCAGCACAGGGGCAGTAACCAGGACGAGACCAAAACCAACTATAATCTCTGTCCCAAGACCAGCAGTCTCAACGTTTATATGGATAGACACCCAACTTGTGGTGGCTTACTTTGTGAAAAGCCAAATATCCTCTATGAGGAGCTAAGCAGGCAGTGCCAACGATGTTCCCTGTGTAGCAAACAAGCAACCTCTCCTGCTGTTCTTGACCTGAACCATCTGTGGCTGCTGCTGCAAGGAATGACCCTGCTGAAGCAGAGTTTCAGCGT